TGGGTCACTGCCTGTTGCTGCTGCTGCTGGTCCTGTCCTCACAGCTGGGTTTCCTACAAGGTGAGTCCCTGGGGAGCACACGGGAGGGCAGTGAGGATGACGAGGATCGGGTGAGTGGCAGACTCCAGCTCCAGAGGTGACCTCTCTCTCTCTGACTCTCTGTCTGCCTGTCTCGTCATGACTCGACCCAACAGGGAAGGTTACCATGTGAGTTATCATCGAACTGGGGACATCTGGCTTTTGTAGGGATACATGTCTGTGTCTTTCTGCTCGTACCTTTGTCTGTCATAATTTCATCTAGTTCAACACTTTTCAGGCTGAGATGTGCTGGGGCTCCCTTCCTTGAAAACTTTAAGATTTCGATCGTTGGGTTATCCTGTGGAATCAGGAAGGTCCCTCGCCCCAAACGTGGTTCAGATGTCCGGACACCGATGTGATGCCACATCGCACCCAGAGGGCATGACAAGGCTTTTCACTTGCCACCTGAGGCTTTCTGGGGAGAGCAGGGCCCGAGTCCCACTGGTATCTCAGTGGCCAAGGAGCAGGGAAGGGAGACTGGCTTGGGATTTGCATGGCACTTGGGAGAGGGCAGGGGAGGGTTCCAGGATGCAGTGAGGTCTGGATGGTTGGAACCTCCCGCCCGTGCCAATGCAGAAGCCCCAGGACCCATGTGTGGGGCAGAAGGCGTGAACCCGGAGAGCTGTCAGCTATCAAACATCAAAAAATGGAGCCAGATATTTTATTAATGGGAGGAAAATTTAGGGTTCAGTACCACTGTGGGACACTTAGATTGAATCATAAATTAGTCATTCAGAGGCTCGATCATTTTCCACAACTGCTCGCTGACAGGCGTTGCTGAAAGCAGTGTGGGTCTCATATCACCTTCGATGCAAAACTTCATTAGTTCAGCTATTGCCGCTGTGGGTGTCGGCATACGGACATATTAAAAGCCATTTATAGTTGACACACATACACACACACACACACACACACACACAGACTATGACAGTTGTTCAAACACAATTAAGATACAACTAATTTGTTTTGTAGTCACATTATCACCACAAAATAAATGAGTTTATGTTCAATGTAAATAGCAACACTGGATTTATCATAGCATTCACAGAGTCAGATGTTTTGCCGTCTACAGAATAGTGTCCACAGCTTTCATTTGATCCCGTGGATTGACTGAAACGTGCAATGGTCGCTGGCGGCATTTGTTTGCAATGTTCTCCATCTGCAGGTGGAATCAGCCTATTAAGAGTCCACGTTTCTTTTTTGGCACGTGCGCTAGAAGACTCAGAACAAAAACCGTGCCAAGTTGAGGCGCCTGGATGGCTCAGTTGGTGTAGCATCCGACTCTTGACTGAGGCTCAGGACGTGATCTCAGGGTCGTGACATCCAGCCCTGCATCGGGCGCTGCCTTGTGCCTGGAGCCTGTTTAAGATTCTCTCTTTCCTTCCTCCCTCCCCACTCACGCTCTCTCTCTCTCACCGTCAAAAAAAAAAAAAAAAA